AAAACTTAAATTTTAAAAGNAAAATATCAATAATTTAACTTTAACACGGATAAGGGAAATAAAAGCAAATTTCACTGTCAGTATAAATCTCGTGGTAGGCGTACCACCCGCTCCCATTTCTTTAATCTCGTGGTAGGCGTACCACCCGCTCCCATTTCATTTATTCTCGTGGTAGGCGTACCACCCGCTCCCATTTCATTAAATCCCGTGGTAGACGTGCCACCCGCTCCAATTTTATTAAATCTCGTAGTAGGCGTACCACCCGCTCCCATTTCATTAAATCTCGTGGTAGGCGTACCACCCGCTCCCATTTCATTAAGTTAATAGTTCTTCCAAATGAAATTTACTCCAACAAACACAATAATTAATACGAATTCATAAGAGAACAAGTACACAATAAATTAGACTCAGTGAGGAAAACAAGTAATGACAAGTAGCAATTAATTATGGACTTTAAGGAGCAAATAGGCAATTTAATATTTAGTATGTTAAATGTCAAGTAGCAATTTAGTCACATAAACATGTAGCAATTATAGCATAAATTCAAGGCATAATGTTGCGCAAGGATACCTCGAGCCAATAATAACAAGTAACACAATAAAGGAAAATGCCAACATAAAGAATCACAGTAATAGTGGAATAAGACAATTAATGCACTGGAACCGATAACAACAAGAAAATTAGTAAATAAAAGTAAAGGACAACATAACTCAATTATCAGCAAGAATCAGGAAAATCAAAGACAAGTGCACGGCATCACCCTTCGTGTTTTTACTCTCTTTCCTCACCAAAGCAATTAGAATAATAAAATGTGCACGGCATCACCCTTCGTGCTTTAACACTCTTCCTCACCCAAACAGCAATCACAAACAAGGGCAAGGGAAATAAACAAGAACATGTAGGAATCCCGGCAAGGGAACAACGATTTAACAATTAAATCCAGACAAGGGAACAAAAAGTAAATAATCAAATCCCGGCAAGGGAACAACAATTAAATAATTCAATCCCGGCAAGGGAACATTTCAATAACTCTTTCTCTATCTTTCACTTGTACTTTATAACTCACTTTACCACTTGAGCCAATGCTCCAAAGGGTTAAATCATCTCATATACTTTCACAATTCATAATATAACTCGAGCCAATGCTCCAAAATGTTCAAAGGTCTCAATTCCTTCCACAAACTTTTCACAACAACTAGGAATCATCACCAAAGCATGAAGAATACAACGAAACAATGAAAATCACAATATAAGACTCACTGTCATACTTGACACCAACGTATAGATACTCGTCACCATGCCTATACGTCGTACTCAACAATTATCAAATAGAAATAGGACTCAACTCCTAATCCCTCAAGCTAAGGTTAGACCAAACACTTACCTCGATGCCACGAACACAATTTACGATCAATTTATAGCTTTACCCTTGATTCCACCGCCAATTCGCTCGTATCTAGTCACAAGTTATTTAATTACATCAATAAACGCTAAATGAATCAATTTGAATGCATGAAAATGAATTTTCCAAAGTTTTACCCAAAAAGTCAAAAATCGGCCCCGGGCCCACATGGTCAAAACCCGAGGTTCGAACCAAAACCCGGTTACCCATTCCCCCACAAACCCAAATATATTATTTGTTTTGAAATCGGACCTCAAATTGAGGTCCAAATCCCCAATTTTAGAAAAATCTAGGTTCTATCCAAAACCCCCAATTTCACCCATTAAATCCTTTAATTTAAGTTGAAAACATGTTAAATGATGTTAATGATTGAAAGAAATGAGTAAAAATTAACTTAAATATGATTTGGAAGGAAATTTGTTCTTGAAAAATCGCCCAAGGAGTTTGTGTTTTGAAAGAATGGTGAAAAATGGTTCAAATTCGACTAAGTATAAAATACGCTGGGCCTCAGATGTGGAAAATGCGAACCGGGGTTCGCAATTGCGAACCCCGACCAGTATGGGAATTGCGAACATCGGTTCGCATTTGCGAACCATGAGGAAAATTGGGGACTTCGCATTTGCGAACCAAAAGGTCGCATTTGCGAAAGTCCCAGCTTCCGCATTTGCGAGCCATTGGTCGCATTTGCGAACATAGTACAAAAAGAAACACCTTCGCATTTGCAGAAGGGGTAGACCTGGGCTATCTTCGCAATTGCGAGAAGCCATTCGCATTTGCGATATCGCATTTGCGAACTAGGCTTCGCAAATGCGAAGCCTGCAGGTTAGAAATGCAACAATTGTGTTTCAAATTCCAAAAATGCACTCGTGGCCTATTCAAAACTCACCCGAACCCTCGGGGCTCCAAACCAAACATACACGCAACCTCAAAAATATTCTACGGACTTATTCGTGCGATCAAATCGCCAAAATAACATCATATTCATCGGATAAGCCTTAAAATTCATGATTTCTTCCCAATTTTTCATAACACATCAAATTTCCATTTTAAGTCCGAAACACGTCAAACGACGTCCTTTTTCAACCAAACTTTACAGAAAGTGCTTAAATCATATATAAGACTTGTACCGGATGCCGGAACCAAAATACGGGCCCGATACCATAGTCTTCTAATCAAATTTCATTTCCAATTTCCTTAATTAATTCCAGAAAATAATTTCACACAAAAATTCATTTCTCGGGGTTGGGACCTCGGAATTCGAATCCGGGCATACGCCCAAGTCCCATATTATCCTACGGACCCTCCGGGACCGTCAAATCACGGGTCCGGGTCCGTTTACCCAAAATGTTGACCGAAGTCAAATTTATTCATTTTAATATCAAAATTTAGCATTTTTCTCACAGAATTTATATTTAAGCTTTCCGGCTACGCGCCCGGATTGCGCATGCAAATCGAGCCCTAAATGAGGCTTTCAAGGCCTCGGAAGTACAGAATGAGTAAGAAAACAGGTGATGACCCTTTGGGTCGTCACAGCTATTAGTCTATTTTATAATCCCTCAATATTCAACTGTATCAGAGATATTTCACTAGGTACAAATTAAAGAAAATCTTCACTTTCTATATCTTTTCATAGCTAAGCATCAATCTAACTTTATTCAAAGTCTTTATTGGAAATCAAGACTACATATTACTGCCAAAGAAACATGGCAGTAACTTGATCTTAACATTGACTATACTACGTTCTAACTCTCAAAAGAGAAGCTAAATATGTAGAGAAATATAATGAATAGGATGTATGTGTTGTACAATAGACCTATCTAAGTAAGGCTCACCTAGCTAATTAATGGTAAAGTCATGGATGAAAGAATGAATGGTACTTTTCCATTACCAAATATGCATGAACATTTTCATGATGGGTAATGGAATATTGCATGTCCATTTCAAGTTCCAAGCACTTCAAAATCCTCAAGATTATGCTACGCAAGAAATTGCACGTGAATTTCAGTCACAAAAAGAAAGATGTGGATCTGTACATAGAAATGGTTCATGTGGAAGTGTATCCAAACAATAACGTCCTGCACATATTCTATTTTTGACATATATAATATTAATTAATTAGCTCAACATAATAAATACTTCATTTTTTGATGACTATAATAATCAAATTCATTATATTCACTGAACCATTTTCTCATATATGAACCATCTAAAACTTTCATCACCTCAAAAACTAATTAACGAACTATCATACTGGTCACTAAAAGTATTTAAACAGGAAGATTATTGAAACCTAATACCAAATTTGGCACAAAGTTACAATATTATTTCAACGCTAAGAATGGAATATTGGCCTTAAAAGGTGTGAAAGCTACCTAATTACAGTTCAATCAGTTAGAAGGATCTGATTATAAAAGAGTTGAGGTCCCAATTAGGGGAAAATATCTTGATGAGCATAATTATTCATACACTTGTAGAGTTGCTTTTTTCCTGCAAAAGAATTGGCATCCTCCCAATTAGCATCTAACTTGTAGTGCTGTATTAAGTACTCCATCCGTCCCATATTAACGGTCGAAAAGTCTTTCTTTCCGCGGTTCGATATCATTCTGACTCGAATAGCTAATACGATATCCTGAGCAATCGCAATAATCGGGTTCATTGATATTCCTAGTATAGTAGATGCTATCATCATACTCAATTCGATGGAATTGTTTGATTGGGAATATTAAAAATAGTTGTCTCAAATTATTTGTCATTACCCTTAGTAATAATTATCCTAGAAGACTACAAATTAACACCTTAATTATGGAAAATTTTAATCAAAAACCAAGACGTCAACCCTGTTATCTTAAACACTTTAGTCATGTTTACACTAATGCAATCAATACTGTAAATACCAAAATTCTTTATAAAGTCTATTCAAACCAAAATTCTGCTAGAATACATAATAAAAGAATATATAAAGAAAATGGAGAAGGAAGTGAAGCATCCTTTTTTTTAGGGAATTTTGGGTGGGAAATGTTAAATTTTCAAATGGGAATAAAGTATCTTTCAAGTTGAATTGTTTGGCTCCAGAATAGTTTTAGTTGGAAAATTTTCAAATCACTCGTTTGAAAATATTTTGAAGGAAAGATGAATTTCATTTCATGCAATATCTGTTGAAAGAGTTAATTTTTCTAATTTGTTAATTTTATCCTAAGTGTCTCTTCATATATTTTATAACGCAAAATCAATTGCATTCACACTTAGTAAAAATATAGATAATATTTTTGAAGAAGATAACACATAAATTGAGAAAATATTCAAAGAAGAAAGATTAAATATTAAGACATGAATAAGGGTTAGTCAAAATTCTATCCTAACTAATTTTTCTTAATGGACGTGCACAAGAGAATCATGACACATAATATAAGACGAAGAGAAAAAAATTTAGCCGTCGAAATCATGGAATAAGATTTTTGTCACAACAGGTTAAATTACATTGACAGCGCGAAAATAATTTACACAGTCAATGGATATAAATAAAATCCAAACCAAAATATGAAAGAAGAGTATGGAATACTAATAGTGGTGGACAGTTAAGTCATAACTAAACCAGAAATAACTATATCAAGCTCTTTACTTTGGTGTAGAACCTAAAAACCCAAGCTGCTGAGCCAAAACATCCACATCTTCATCTTCTTCTTCAATACCAAGTAAAGTGATATCATCTTCAACATTTTCATCCAACAAATCATCCCAAAATCCTTCATCAATTGCTTTATTCTCACTTTCTAATTCTCCTATATCTTCTTTCTCAATGGTGTAGTCTTCAAAACTGATTGTGTTCCCATTTTGTCCTTGCATACTCACAACAAGTCCCTCCAATTCAAAATCATCAAATCCATAAATTTCACCATAATATTCTTGAGGTTCTTGTTTTATATTATGATTTTCATCATTCACACCATGGCCTAATTCTACAACTCCAACATTATTACTAGGACCTTGATCAATTGGCCTCCTTCTCTTCAACCTAATTTCATCCTCTATTTGTTCTTTCCTTCTTTCCTTTTGCTGCATCATCTGCTCCAAAAATCTTGGATTTTGTATTCCTTTAGCCATGAAATTTATCATTTGTTGCTGTTTTTGTTCTGTCCTTTTAAGCTTTTCTTCCATTGCTTTAATGTATGATTTAGTAGTCTGCTGCTGTTGTCTAAGCTTCGCCAACTCCATCATCAAAACCTGCTTCTCGCGCCTTAATCGATCAATCTCTCCATCTAATTCAAGCTTTCCCAATTCAATATAAGAGTCTATACCTTGATTTGAAGCTTGGCCAGGATGGAAATTACTTGTCTTTCTCCTCCTAATTGCTTTCAAGAGATGCCTTTGCCCCCTCAAGAAACCTTCATTAGCAAACTCCCATTGGTCTGGATTAACCTTCCTAAATCCCTGCACGATAATTCACATCGCTAGTATTCTTCCATTAGGGAGGAAAAGAAAAAATAAATTAAAGGACCATGAGAAAATCAACAATATTGGGATTTTTCCTTCTAAAATATAAATAACTTTTTATATTATTGTTGATTACCTACCTTATTTTCCAGTTTATTAAATATACTTTCTACGGACAATTTAGCTGTAGTTATCTTTTAGTTGACATGATCATATAAAAGTTCTTCCCTGTATAATAGTTAAACTCATAATAAAATTATCTTGTGCACTCACTAGCTAGTCTGGAAGTTTAGAAGACCTGTAGAAATTATAAGATGTCAAGAAACTCATACAAAAATTTCTACTGATATATACAAAAGAACTGCATAAACTAATGAAATGTAGCTGGACAGAAGGTAATATGAATTGGCTGATACTGTAATGTTGAATACTCATAGGAAACTGAATATTTCATTTTTGTTTTGTAACCGAAGATTCACTTCCCTTTTTAGTGATTGAGTTGCAAATATATATAATTTTCTAAGCACTTAAAATGAGCTGTCATTTTAAACAAAAGAAAGAAATCTATTGCAACTTGCCAATAAAGGAAGCAAATCTAGTGCAAGTTGCCACTAAAGGAAACAAATCTGGTGCAATTATTTGGGTCAGTATGTAGAACTTTAATTCTTAAAACTTTTTTTGTTCCATTCACTATCTAACTATATATACTATTTGAGTTGGTTGGAGAAAACAATGCTTACATAAGTATTGAGCTGCCTGACAAAGCTTGAGAAATTGCTATGCTTGAAATACCTTGGAAGAAGATTCATGGCAAAGGTTTGAGGATCCCAAACAATGAAAGTGTTATTACCTTTACTCCAAGAAACAATATCATTAGTGTTTACATCATCCACAAGTTCATAAGTCTTTGTTAGAAATGGTGGAGGCCCATTCTCATGAAGCCCCTCCATTGGTTTAGGAATCCACATAAAAGAAGAATCCTCACTAGATCCAGGAAACTCTTCTTTTATTGAGGCAAAATTAGGATCCATACTTCAAATCTTGAAGAACAAGGGATGGAAAAATTAAATCGGTGAAGCTCAAAAGAATAATATGCTTTGATAAAGCTGAAAATAACAAATGAGGATAATATATAATGTGTTTTTAAGTTTAAGGAGTTAGGGTTTGCGAGGAAGAGTTGGAAGTGAGGAGAATCAAGATTTAGATGGAAAAATGAAGAAAAAAGGAGGATAGACAAAGAATTATTCTCCAAAAAAGATGGTGGCCGGATACAGAGAAATGCAAAAACAGTTTGTAAAGTCAGAAAGATTGGTTTTGGATATGGAAGAGAAGGAGATGGAAATATGTTGTAATGGAGGTCAAGAGGGAGGAGCTTGATCAATATAGGTTATGAAAATAACAATAGTAGTTTATTATGGAACGGTCCTTAGATATTTTCAGTCCCTCTACCTTTTTTTTTTTAACTATTCCCAATATCCCTCCTCACTAACCCCTTTAAGAAGGTTTGGTAGGAGAACAGTTCCAAATTATTCATTAGTCTGGTATCTTTCTTTTTTTTTGGTGAAAACCAATAAGATCTTTTTTCTAATATTTTGAAAATTTCTCAAAATACTTGATATGCAAAATAGGATAACTCCTAGATCTTTTTTTTTCACCCGCTTCTAGTACTGTTATAGGTAGTTTTTACTTCTTTCTAATAACGTACTTGCTTGGCTTTAATGCCTTACATAGAATAAAGGGGATGATTCTAATCTTGTGTTGATTTTGCCTACTTATTGAATTGCGGCCGGAGAAATCTGGATGTGAAGACTCGGGTTTGAGTGCAACCAGGGGCAGCTCAACAGTATTTATGGCTTAAAGCCACCATTTGATGAGAGGCCTTAAACCCCTTTTGTAAAGAGAATATATATATAAACACTTATCTAAGTCTAGTTTTTAATATTTTGAGATGCAAAATTATTATTCATATTTTAATAGATTCTATCTATAGTTAAAAGTAGAAGAAAAATCAGTCTTACTAAGCCAAGTGGCATAACTACAAATAGCACAGTGGCAATGTTAAGACAAAATAAACTACCTTTCTAACTAAAAATATTTTGAATTTTTAATTTTTAATTAATTAGTTACTCTATTTGAATTAATAAATATAAATATTTTATAATTATCTATAATAAAAAAAATGAATATATATATATATATATATATATATATATATATATATATATATAACTGCCCATTCAAATATATGGAATACTTTCAAGTTGAAGTTTTTAATTGGTTACTCTATCAATAAATATAAATATTTTATAATTATCTATAATAAAAAATGAAAATATAAAATAAAATAAAAAACTACCCATTCAAATTATGGAGTGCTTTCAAGTTAAAGTTTTAAAATTATTTTAACATAAAAAATAAGAAAAAATAAAGCACTAAAAGTTCAAAATGAATGGATAGTAGTTTCTTCCTAATATCCATCTATAATTAGAAGTAGAAGAAAAAGCAATCTCATTAAGCCAAGTGGCATAAGTACATATAGCCAAGTGGTGTTGTTAGACAAAATAAACGACCTTTCTAACTAAAAAATATTTTTAATTAATTGGTTACTCCATTTGAATTAATAAATATAAATATCATATAATTATCTATAATAAAAAACAAAAATATAAGAAAAATATTACCCTTTAAAATTAAGGAGTACTTCCAAGTTGAAGTTTTAAAATTATTTTAAAATAAAAATAATAAAATAACTAAACTTTCAGAGGAGATGGTTGTGTGAGTGGGGTAGAGAAAAGTTAGAGCTTGATAGAAAATTGTAATGACCCGACTGGTGGTTTTGAGTATTTGCACTTCGCTCGGTAGTTTACGGGCGTGAGTAGCTTTGTATGATGTATTTTGACTTATGTGAATAGTCGGTTTTGATTTTCAGGTTATTCGGAATTGATTTGGAAGAATGATTCTCAACTAGGGAGCTTTAAATTTGAAAGAGTTGACCGAGTTTAACTTTTTAGTATTTGACCTCAGATTAGAATTTTGATGGCTCTGCTAGCTCTGTTGAGTGATTTTGGACTTAGGAGCGTGTCGGAATTGTGATTTCGAGGTCCGTAGTTGAATGTGGCTCGAAATGGCGAAAGTTGGATTTTTTTGGAAAGTTTGACCGAGAGTGGACTTTTTGATATCGGGGTCGGATTTCAATTTCAGAAGTTGGAACAGGCCCGTAATGTCAAATGTGACTTGTGTGCAAAATTTGAAGTCAATTGGACGTGATTTGATTGGTTTCGACATCGGTTGTGGAAGTTTGAAGTCTCAAGTCCATTGATTTTTGGATTGAGGTGTGATTCGTCATTTCGATGTTGTTATATGTGTTTTGAGAGCCCCGAGTAAGTCCGTGTTATGTTATGGGACTTGTTGGTATGTTTGGACGTGGTCCCGAGGGGCTCGGGTGAGTTTCGGAAAGGTTTGGGTTGTATTGCGCTCGTTTTTTTATGTTTCGACGTTGTTTCTTCAAGCATAAATGGTACTACATTAAGCAAATGAGCTCAATTTCTGTTTTTATTGAAGAATTAGATTCGTATCGTAATTATGGAGCCATAGCAAAAAGAATCATCGAATTTGGACATCGTACGAGGAGTTTATGGTCATTTTACTAAGAATCGGGTTGCTAGATTTTTCACATTAATTACGAAATTGCCAATGACTTTTTTAAAAATCTGCACTATTTCCAAATATTGAAACCAACATATCTCCTTTAATATAAGGCTTAATGGAGTTATTGAAGAGCCTAACTTGACTAAAATTTTACAAGGAATCCATTGGAGGCATCAAAAGCGAGTTCTGAGATCATTTGGCACAAGAAACGAGGCAAAATAGTGTTAAAACGAGAGTTTTATTCATTTAACATATTTTGAGTTGGAGAGCTCGGAATCGGGCAATTTTTTAGGCGATTTTCACCATATGAATTGGGGTTCTCTACTCAGTTTTGGTTATATTCCATGAATCTATCTTCGACTTTAGCTTTTGGTTGATGAATTTTAAAGAGGAAATTGGGGGTTTTGGCCTAAAGTTTCATAATATGAATTTTTGAGTTTTGAACATCGATTTGGAGTCGGAATTGAGTGAAACTAGTACGGTTGGACTCGTAATTGAATGGGTTGTCTGATTTTATGAGTTTTGTCGGGTTCCGAGGTGTGAGCCCGGGTGTGATTTTTGGCCGAATTTGCGATTTGATTAAGGATTCGATCTTTATCATTTGGAATTTTTTTCCTTGGGCTTTATTTGATGTATTTGAGTTGCTTTTGGCTAGTTTTGAGCCATTCGGAGGTCACTACGCGCATGATGGCATTTTTGGAGCATCGCTTGGCTTGCTCGGTATTGTAATTGGCTTGTTCGAGGTAAGTGTCTTGCCTAACTTTGTTGTGTCACGACCCAAATTCCATTATAGGTTGTGATGGTGCCCAACATCGTTGTTAGGCAAGCCAACCCTAATCAACTAGTGAATTCTCAGTCTTTTAAAATAAACACTCTCAACATTTACTTAACTTAAATTTTACAATCAATAATTAACAAATTATAAGGCGACTGAATTGGGAAAGACTAAAGGGAATCATGATAATAGGAATACAACCCTAAAATAATAATCTACTAATATGGGTGCCAGGATCTAGTATCACAAGTACGAGGGCAACTAGTAGAATGTACAAAATACAACTACCCTACTGCCTGAAATAGAATAGACAGGAATAACAAAAGGAGAGACTCCGACATGCTGCTGAACGGCTCAGAAGGGGGCAGCTCACCGTGAGATCTCGATCAAGTATCAGGAATGCGCGTTGGATGGGTAACTAGATGACTGCCTCAGATCCTGTACAATTAAGTACAGAAGCATAGTATGAGTACATAAACATATTTTCATGACCCAAACGGATGCGCCGCGACGGGCACCCGGTACCTTACTCAACTGAGTACCAACATAACGTATCTTTTCGTATCATGCTATCATAGATAATTGAGCCAGAGAGGCTTCCATGAAATAGGTAGAATACTACATGTAATACCAATTTATACATGAGACATATGAGCCTCTAGGATCAAAATAACCACTCGTATACTGAGCATAGGCCGACAAGGCCATACAATCTTTTACATACACGATATCTGTCTACAAGCCTCTAAGGATACATCATTGTAATAAAGGTCGGGACAGAGTCCCGCCTTACCAAGCAATACACATCTAAATTATACTGACCAAACAAGCAACTCCGGAGCAATTAGAGTGCACCAATATCTTCCGCTGAGTTGATCGCCTACTTGGAGGAATCTCGACATGTCTATCGAGACCTACGGGCATGAACGCAGCGTCCCCAAGCAAAAGGGACGTTAATACGAATAATGTACCGAGTATGTAAGGCACATAAATAAGTACGTAAAAGACATGGAAGAAATATAGAGTAAATGACTCAACCTGTAAGTCTGGATAACTCTGTAAATCATGAAATACTTTTAGTGTCATGTATATACGTATGAATGTCATGTCGTGCATAGGTACATGTGTTCATAACATTATCAAGCCTCTGAGGGCATCCCATCATATCATCTCGGCCACTGTGGGCAAAATCATCAACGTGTACCAGCTGATCAGGTGATGGTGCGTATATAACGCCATAACCTTTCCCATATCCCATATACATACATATATATATATATATATATATATAACACCATCTGGTCATGGGCCAATGTGCATATGTAAATGCATGAAATGCATGTGAAAATATGTTAATAAAATCTCTCGGTACGTCATAAGACCATTATACCTATATTAATATCATGAAATAAACTTTACCAACTTACGTATTTTTGAGACCCATGAACAGATGATAGAATAATATGACACATGGGAAATCAAGAACATCAGCATCTCTAGTATTTCTATGAATAGAGTCATTTATGGAAGTTGTACATTTTCTCGTT